AATTTTACTCTCTTTTTTTTTTATGTTCGATCTGTTTTTGCCTGTTTTAGTTGATGGGTTGTGTTTTTGTGGGTCGGGTCAACCCGACCCAACCTTAAAAAAAACTAAAAAATGTTAAAAAATATATATAAGTTTATATTAATTAATTCGGTGAGTTAATTTAATTTATGATTAATGAAGTTAATTAATTTTAATCAAAACAAATTAATCATATTTATGAAAATTTAATTTGAGATAATTAGATTTATTTGATTATTTTAATTAAAGATGAGTAAATGTGATTAATTAATTTTAATTAATTTTAATTAATTTTAATTAATGTTAAGTTAATTATTTAATTAGACTAATTATCTCAACTAATTAATTTCAATTTTCGATTAACTTTAATTTTGGTCAAAGTCAAAGTCATCTTTTATTTTATTTCAATTTTACTCAAAAGTTTCATGATTAAGCAATTTAATCCATGGGTCTCAACTCTTTTCAAATCAGTCCTTCATGTTTTAAATTTAGTCATATCAATCCTTTATGTTTTTTGGATTTAATCAAACTGGACCCTTTTAATTTCTACTTGTGTTTATTGTGCATGCATATTTTTGATTTTGTTTCTTTCAGTCCAAAAATTAAAAAGTGTTTCAATTTGGTTTATCTCTTTTTCTCAAGTTTGCTTATTAAGACTCAACATAAAAATGATGAATAAGTTGATTCAAAACCCCCAATTTTAAAGTATGCAACCGTGTTTAAACGGAGGATTGTGAGGTGCGCATATGCCCTTCCTCACTCCTAACCGAACCCCCGAACCCCGATCTCTGCGCAGACCCATTTTAGGTGACTTGTCCCACCTTACAATTTGGACAAGTGGCGACTCCCTTTTCTTTTATATTTTTCACACTTAATAACGATAAATAATAATTTTTCATATTTTTGAAATCTAAAGTGGTCGTCAACAGATTGGCGACTCCACTGGGGACTGAATCTAGAATCGATGGTTTTCATGTTTTGGATTCATGAGGGTCGAGCTAATACTTTAACTTTGGGGAATTTTTCAGCTTTTGATTTTTCTTTTGCTTGTTGAGTCTTTGTGGGGTCTTTGTTACTCGTCGCATGTGCTCCTTACTTGTTCTTTGTTTCTTGTTTGCTTGTTGTTTTGATGATTGCTTTATTATTTTGCTTTTGAGTAGTTGTTTGGCTACATCTCAGCATGCATCATATTTTGCTCACATGTTCATGCATCATATCATCTCACATGATCATGCATCACTGATGTTACATGCTTATTCATCATGCATCATGCTTACATGCTTCCTTGCTTGTATGTGAATGTGCTAACCTTTTGCATTTGGCATGGGAGTACTAGGTGAGTCTCTTCCTGCTGTGTAAATAGGTGTGTTTGTCGATGCTACATCTGTTGAGTGTTTTATATGTTTTATTTTATTGTTGTGGAATATATGTTGTTATTTTGTGGTTGTCATTATGCAAGTTATTGGAATGTCATGCCCCTTGCACACATTCACTCTTATTTTGCATTAGGTCCGTGTCTAAGGTGAACCCGACCTCTAGTCTAGAATCCTTATGAATCTGGCTTGGAAGAACAATTCTTCCCGCTTTGAGGAGTAAGATCGGTTCTCGTTAGGTTGTTTCCATTGGTTAATACGACACCTGATGATGTAATATCATCCTGTGTATTAGCTTTTGGAAATATCTCCCATTGATTCTAAAAAGATAAATGGTCGAGAAGGCCTAATGCCCTTTAGGAAAGCATGCAGTGAACTTAAAGAGAAACCACCCATAGGACTTGTTAGCCTAGAAAGCCACCAGTGAGGTTAGGATTCCCTGTGTCTAGGTACACAAGGGGGTATTTTACATCTTACCTTACTTTCTACACTTGCAGGTATTCATTGAGTCAACCATGTCAAGTATCATGACATCCATCACGTTCATTTACGCACTTTGCCTTTCACTTTCTACTCAATACTACATGATACCATGCACTTTGGCATTTTCACTTTCTATTCCATACATCATTAAAAAAAAAAAAAATTTGCATAATTGTTTTACATGTCATCAACCTTTCACATGTCATATGTTCATTATGTTGCATTTTCCATCTCATGCGTCACAAAATATGTTTTCATTTCACGTGACATTCTCCATTTCATTTTCATCTCATATTTCACAAAATTTCAAAAAAAAAAAAAAGGAAAATGTAATTTCATCCATGTTCATTACATTTACATCTTCCATCTCATATAAAAAATTCTACAAAATATAAAAAAATCTCATCCACGTGCATTTCACACTGCATTTTTTATCTCAAGTTTTCATTTCAAG